TATCAAACCTTATTATCCATATTGGTAAATCAGTATTTTGTATTTTAGTTGTTTATTATGTGACTCTATGATTGTTATTTAGATCTATTATGTTATTATTATTGTTTTTTTTGGTTCTTTCTAAAAAATTAATTATGTTGACATTTTTCTTTTTTATTTTCAATAATGTAGAGAAGTTTTAGTAAAATTTTGGATACAATTTTTAATATAGAAATGTTGAGAATGACCAAACGAAAAAAATCTTCAAATTTTCTTGTATTGAAAAAACATTTCAAATTGACTTGCTTAAAAACTTGTTGATTTATTTATGGAAATCAATATAAGTTTACCTATAGAAGATTTTTATTATGATTCAAATTTGCTATGACACATTTTTTAAGACATGTTACAATTATTTTAGTGAAAATAATTGTAGAGATGACAAATAATGTTTTTGTTATTTTCAGATTGTCTTGTGTTAAAAAAACATTTCAAATTGTCTTGATTAAAAACTTTGTTGATTTATTTATGAAAACAAATATAAATTTATCTGTAGAAGATTTTACTATGATTTAAATTTGTCATGACACATTTTTTTAGAACATGTTCATTTGTTTATATGGAAGTGAACGTGGAGATGACAAATAATGTTTTTTTTTACTTTCAAATTGTTGTGTTAGAAAAAATATTTCAATTTGTCTTGATTATAACCTTGATGATTTGTTTATGAAAACAAATATAAATCTATTACTATGATTCAAATTTGTCATGTCACATTTTTCTAAGACATGTCATAATTGTTTTGATGAAAGCGACTGTGGAGATGATAAATAATATTTTTTTTACTTTCAAATTGTTTGTGTTAAAAAAAACATTTCAAATTGTTTTGATTACAATCTTGGTGATTTATTTATGGAAACAAATATAAATTTATTTGTAGAAGATTTTACTATGATTCAAATTTGTCATGTCACAATTGTCTTGGTGAAAGTGATTGTGGAGATGATAAATAATATTTTTGTTATTTTCAAATTGTTTTGTATTAAAAAAACATTTCAAATTGTCTTGATTAAAAACTTTGTTGATTTATATATGGAAAGAAATATAAATTTACTTGTAGAAGAGATTACTATGATTCAAATTTGACCAAAAAAAAATTGTCATGTCACAATTGTTTAGGTGAAAGTGATTGTGGAGATGAAAAATAATGTTTTTGTTAATTTCAAATTGTCTTGATTAAAAACTTTGTTGATTTATTTATGGAAATAAATATAAGTTTACTTGTAGAAGATTTCACTATGATTCAAATAATTTGCAATGTCACATTTTTTTCAAGAAATGACACAATTGTTTTGGTAGAGATGACAAATAATGTTTTTGTTAATTTCATATTGTCTTGTGTTAAAAAAAATTTCAAATTGTCGTTTATGTGTCACCTGGCCACCTCTCCTATCTTTAGAATTTCGTTGTCTAACTCTCCGGTCAATGTGTTTCGAAATAAAACTAAGACATAATAAGCAATGTGATTTTTCTACAACTATATATAATCAATGTCTCTCTAGTTAATAATATCCTCTGTTTCCTTCATTTGTTCTTGTATGCCAACATTATGAATGTGTTCCTTAGAATGTTGAACATATGTAAAAATCAGATAGTGTGTGTTTGTTTTGTTATTATCGTTCACAAGGACTGAGACTAATTTAATTTTATCATTCATTCGAGTTAAACTACGTCAAATTGGAGGATGTTCCCGTTAAAAGAACCAGCACTTAACTAGAAAAAAATTAGGAGATTCCATTGTTTTTAAGTATAAAAAGTCACAAACCACACGAGAAGAGAAGAAGCCAGAAGCATTGATTTCATACAATACATACATTGTTGTTGTATATACAACTATTTTATTCAATCATAATGTTCATGGTTTTGGATTGTGAGTGTTTGCCATAACTTGGTGGAGTTGATCAAGAAGTTTATCATCATGTTCATTCCCATTCCGCTGCACTGATGAAACAAGCACAATAGGCAACTCCCATCAACCAAATGAAATTCAAATATAGAGCCTTTATAGTTTCTACTCAGAATTGCAACACATACCGGAAAAGCGTGAGAAGATGAGTCATTCGGTTCCTCTTGAACTTCGCTTAGGGGGACCTCATCAGATCTTCCTGTGCGTGACAATATATCCAAGGAAGTTCTGTTTGATTCCCTCTCGTTTTGTCCACTCAAACTTCCTACTTCTTGAAGTGGATTGGTGCTTGTGTGTGGCAATACAAGTCGCTGAAACTCTGATAATAGCGAAGAGAGAGCTCTAACTTCATCCATTCTAGCTTCCCTACATTGATCAAAACAACATCAACAATAAGCATCCTCTCTATG